CGGGGGGGGGGGGGTGACATTGCTACTCTCTGAACGTAAACATCCAAGGAAAAGCAGCTGTACTGCATTTTGCGCTCGCCCCCTTCTGCAGCTGGGACTGTGCCAACTCAGCCTGCAGATTATTGGGCATAGCTGTGCTTATGTCAAGTTCTCATATTCCACTCCCCACATCTCCCCCTTTTTTATTTCTTCCTGTGGAGGGAACCCCAAATGCATGGCTCCCAGTACTTGATAGGCCAGAGCACCCTCCTGACCCTCCTCATCTGACACTGAATCAGAATCATCTTTGGACTGAATTTTAATTTGAAGGTGGGGCTGATGGTTCAGCAGCTCAACTGCCTGCAGCATCTTCTTACTGCCTCTCATACACCTTTATTACTGGTGGTAAGGGTGAGTCCCACATCCCGGCTCAGCTACCAAGGAGGAAAATCTTTATTTATATGAGAGTAGGCTCCCAACAATCTCTAATCATAGACCACAACCTGAAAGTAACATAGATCTATTACCTTACTTCTTTTCTCTATTATCTTACTTCTCTATTATTTTTTCTATTTTTCTCTATTATCTTATTTCTTCTCTATTATCTTATTTCTTCTATTATACCTTATTTCTTTTCTATTATCTTATTTCTTATAGGCTTCTCATACTCCACTCCCCACAGTGTGCTGTGAGGGAGAGGGCTAGATCTAGTTCTGGGGTATGACTCCCTGCAGGGTTGGCAAACTGAGCCCACAGGCCAAACCCACTACCTGCTTTGGTAAGTACTTCATTGGCACAGCCACGCTTTTCACTCATATGTCAGCCATAACCTCTGACCCAGAGCAAGTTACTCCACCACATCAGGCCCCAGGGAACTCATCTGTAAGGGGCGAACTGGACTGGGGGCTGGGCTGTAGCTCATGGTAGAGCACTCACCTAGCACACATGAGGTCCTAGGTTCCATTCCCAACGCCACAAAACAGGGAGACAGAGGCAAAATTAGACTAGCAGGCTGAGGGCCAGAGAGTGGCTTGCCAAGACCTGAAAGATGGTTTTTGAAGACGTGGACTATATGAAAACCAGGAGAAAACACACATCTGGAAGTCTATCCTCTTAAGAAATTCAAAGCCTGGAGACAAGGAGCGTGAGCCCTACCAGGCAAGGCTCTGGGCAGGTCGTCCAAATCCCAAGAGGAGCCTGAGCTTCTGCAGGGTCCACCAGGATGCTTTGGAAGGAGCCAGGCAAGCTGGATACCAGCCTAGAGCAAGTGCCCCCTGGGGGCAGGTGATGAGTGCCTTGCAATGAGGTCTAAGGATCCTCTCTGGGTTAGGGTCAAGAGCAAAGGCAAGAAGGAGCAGAGGCAAAAGCTCACCCATGTCGCTTAAACCTCTCGACATCTTCTCCAGGGTTCCTGCCTCCGATCCAAAGAATCTGGCTGAAACAAGAACTGGTCTTGGAGCAAGGCAGCTGCAGCGACAGCCCAAGGCCAATGGGACCCTGCTTCCAAGTTACCTGAACTGTGGGAAGTGCTTAGTGAAGTGTGACAAGACCTCATCTATCTGAATGGCCAGCTCCCGAGTGGGGGTGATGATGATGGCTCCCACCTGCCACGTGGAGAGAAGAGGCATGGTCAGCTGTACAAAAGGCCCCGAGCGGAACACACAGTTGGCACTCTCTCTCTCCCCCTCCCCCCCAGCACAAAGACCCGGGGGAACAACACTTTTTCAACTTTCAGGCAGCCTCAGGTCACAGTGCATATGAATTGCTTTGAATCATGCCACGTGTCATTATTCACTGTGGACCTGAATTAGGGAAACTAAGCCTCTGCTCCTGGGAAAATAGGGGTCGGGTTCCTGGGAGCCTCTGGCCACATTCTCATCACCTTAGCAATAAGGAACTTTGTTTTTTTGTGTGTTATTGTTTAAAGACATCTCATTTAGTACATGTCATTGATTCACTCACAATGAACTCATGGTCAACAGCACGTAACTCGTATCTAACGTAACTTAAGTTGTTTAACTCCTGGTCACCTCAGCACTATGCTTAAATCACCAACAAAAGCCATAAAACTGTGAAAAACGTGGGACTGTACAGTCCATGTGACATATGCTGGCTGAACTGGAAGGCAGTTCTCTCCCCTGTAAATGACGGTGACAGCTCACCCAGCATGGATTCCAGCATAAACTTTAAGAAGCAGGCAAGTTCCCCCGATTGTGAAATCTCACTACTAGGACAGTAAGTCACATCAGCGACCCTCACCTGACTCTTTTTTAACTTCTCCTCCCTTCTCAGAAGAATTTCCAGGATGGGGATGACAAAAGCGAGTGTTTTGCCACTGCCTGTGACCTGCAAAAGGGGAGAAAGTTTTGGGTTGTTCGTCCCTTGGTGTCACTCAGGAAAACATGAGAAGAGGATGTACTTCAAGGCACTCACCGCTTCTGCAGCGACATCTTTGTTTTTCATGAACAGAGGGATAGTGGCAGACTAAAGGAGAGATTGCAAAACACTGGTTAAGGAATGCCATGACTTCACTCGTGAGACCCAAGCCCTCATGTCACCGTGGACCCCACCACAAAGCAACCCTGAGTAAACAAGGCACCACTGAGGGGCTAAGTGTCAAGACAGTATGGCAGGAGCCCTGGATTCAAGTCCTGCTTCTCCCAGTTTCCCTACCTGGACCAGGAATGGGTTGAGGACACAGCATTTTAAGATGTCTTCCAGCTCTAGCACCACAGAGGACTTAAATTCATGCCCTTAGTTTGAACACCCCCAGGCTTCACAAGGAGCATGGCTGTTGGCTTTCAATGACCAGACCCCAAGGCCACTCCCTCTAGGACTCTGCTCCTGGTCCCAGAGCCTGAACTCACCCCACACACCATGCATCACACTATTCCTCTATGCAGGGAGGTCTCAACCTGAGTGATCTCAGATCCCATATCCCCAGGAAAATCTGGCAATGTAGGTAGACATTTTGGATTGTCAAAACCCAGGGTGAAGGAGCTGTTGCTGGCATCTGGTAGGGAGATTCTAGGGACGTTAACAAACATCCTGTAATGCCCAGGACAACCTCACAGGAAAGGGTATTCCAGGCTAAAAGTTAACAGTTCCAAGGCTGAAGACCCTGCCCTACACTGCTGTTGTCCACAGAAATATAATGTGAACCACGTACACGATCTTAAATGTCCTAGTAGCTACAGTAAGTAGAAAGAAACAGGGAAAATAAAATTTAAGAATTTTTTTTTTTTAGCCAGGTGCCTATAATCCTAACTACTCAGGAGGCAGAGATCAGGAGGATTGAGGTTCGAAGCCAGCCTGGGCAAATAGTTCTTGAGACCTTATCTCGAAAAAACCCATCACACACAAAAAAAGAGCTGGTGTAGTGGGTCAAGGTGCAGACTCCGAGTTCAAATGCCAGTACCGTACAAAAAAGGTATTTTTATTTAGCCCAATATATGCAAAATATTGTCCCTTCAACATGTACTCAACATAACATGCTAATTCTTCAAAGTTCAGCATGTCATTTCACACTCAGAGCGCATCTCACTTGAACTAGCTGTACTTCAGGCGCCCCACAGCACTGGTCTAGTGACCAGGGCAGTGACAGCAGCTCTAGACATGGAAGGACTGTGGACATTGGGACTTTTATGCACTATCACAACCAAGTTCTTGTCTCCAGCCCTGCCTGCTCCAGGGGATCTCAGGAACATCCCAAATTAAACATTTTAAAACAGAACTCCCTGGGAGGCTGAGATCAGGAGGACCTCAGTTCGAGGTCAACCAAGGAAAATAGTTCTCGAGACCCCATCCCCAAAAGTAACCAGAGCAAAATGGACTGGAGGTGTGGTTCTAGCAGTAGAGCGCCCACTCTGTAAGTGCAAAGCCCTGAGTTCAAACCCCAGTCCTGATTAAAAAAAAAAAAAAAAACTTTTGATTTTCCCCCTGAAACCTGTTACCTTCCAGCCTTCCTCATCTTGGTAACAGCAACACCATTCACTCAGCTAAGAACAAAACTCAGGTTTGGGTGAGATAGCTCACACCTATAATCCTAGCTACTTGAAGCTAAGATCAGGATCACAGTTCGAGACCAGCCACAGCAAGCAGTTTGAGAGCCACCATCTCCAAAATAACCAGAGCAAAACAGACTGGAGGCCTGGCTCAAGCGGTAGAGCACCTGAAAGTCTTCAGTGCAAACCCCAGTCCCATCAAAGGAGAAAAAAAAAAAAAAAACCTCAGCCACATTTGGAGGCAACCCCAGGGCATCTGCACTGGCATTTCTCTCTGAGAAGACCCCACATCCAGTTCCTTCCCAATCATTCCCACCGACCCCCCCCCCACCCCGCCCTGGGAGAGGCCTTGACCTGGACCTGCTCCTCACTGGCTACATCACTCCGAGTTCCTTCCCAACACAGCACCAGCTGAACGACTTCATTCCTCCCTTCGCTAGCGCCTGCACTAGAAAAAATGGCCCACGAGCAGGTACCAAGACTGCAAAGTCCCCAGAGGCTAGAAGGGGCCCTGACACACAGCAGGTCCTCAATAAGACCTCACATCACATTTAGTAGGCTCGCCTCCCCACTGGAAGGATGGTTCACCATGGGGTCTTTTAAATGTTTCTTGAATAAGTGAATACAGTGGCCAGGCTGCCGCACTTCTCTCGCGCAACACCGCCAGGCCACGTTCGCCAGGCTCCACGACGCGCCCGCCCTGCGTCACTCGATCCCCCAGCTCTGGAAGCAGCTCCTGCTTTTCCCTCGTTTCGCAGAGAAGGAAACTGACGCACAGGGAGGCTGAGTCGCTGTGGGACGTCGCACAGCCACAGCGGGCCGGTCCAGACCGAGCACCGGACCGAGACCCCGCAGCTCAGGCCGGGCCTGGGGCTGTGCCGCCGCGATCATTGGCCAGCGTCGCACCGCCGACACCCGCAGCCGGAAGCCTGAGAAGCGCCTGGTTCGAGTCCCACCGGCCGCCTGCCCCCGCCCCCACCTCGCCTTCCCACCTGGCCCCGGGCAGATACCTGCACCGGCGTCATGTACGGGAAGCCCAGCTCCCGCAGCGCTTCGAGCACCTGCGGGTGCAGCGGCACGGGCAGCGAGTCCCACGAGCCCTCCGTCACGTGCTCCATGGCGCACTCCCCAAAGCTTCGGGTCGCCGGGGCCGCAGTGGAATTTGGCGGACGCACAGCCAGCGGGCACTTCCGGTTCCGGCAGCTCCGGCGGCCGGCAGGAAACCGCACTCGCGTGGCGACGTTCCGGGCGCTCCCGAGCGGGCACCGTCACTGCAGGCCGGCGGCTGCGGGCGGCGGGATCGGCCTGGGCGGGGCCACCGCCTGCGCGGCCTCGGCGACTCTGGCGCCTTCCCACGCCGAGCAGGCGTTTCGGCGGGAGCGAGTCGGGCCGCTCCCTACTGTCTCCGCTGCAGGTGACAGCACAGCACCGCGTGCGGCTCGAAGACCGTGGGGCCACTGGTATGGCAGGCAAGTCCCGGGCCCGGAGCCTCGGGGACACATGCACTGTAGAGTTGACAGTGGGGACCCCAAAAGGGTACAGATGAACGCTGGCTTAACTTTGGAGGAAGTCCCGGCCAGCCCTGAACCAGAACGCTTCGTCCCTGCGCTCACCAGTCAGGCTCACAGTCGATCTGCAGCTTGTCAATGACCACCTGGCCACCATGTGCTGGGCTCTGGGGACAAATCTCCAGCTACTTGCACGGCTAGCTCCCTACTTCCCCCATAGTATTTACTGTCCTCACATCACATTTAGTAGGCTCGCCTCCCCACTGGAAGGATGGTTCACCATGGGGTCTTTTCTCTACGTTCTTTGGTCCAGTGACTATAAATGTTGCACACAAATGTCAAATATGTGGGAAGAGCCAGGCGCTGGTGGCTCACATCTGTAATCCTAGCTATCTGGGAGGCTGAGATCGAGAGGATTGAGGTTTTAGGCCAGCCCAGGGAAACAGTTGGGGAGACCCCATACCCAAAATAACCACAGCAAAATGGACTGGAGGAGTGGCTCAAGTGGTCAAGGGCCAGCTTTTCAAGTGTGAAGCCCTGAGTTCAAACCCCTGGGAGGAATAAATGGAAAGAGTACTCATGAAGACTCTTGTCACCTCAAACCAAAGACACAAAATCCAGTAACATCATTTTCATTGAAGCCATCACCACATCCTCAAAACAACTTTCACAACTGAGATAAAATGGAATTTCCTGCCTGGCACTGTGGACTCCCAGAACCACAGGCCTTTACATTCAGGAGGATCTCAAGATGGAAGGCAGCCTGGACTACACAGCAGGACCCTTTCTCAGAAAAATAAAAATGAAATGAAATCATAAAGGTATTTCCACAGAGCTTTGAGCAAAGGTGCAAGGAAGTTGTGTGAATGTGTTCACCTTTGGCCCTCTCCCACTCACTAGCTTCTGATTTGGAGACTTTTCCTAGCTTGCCTCCTTGTTTCTGAAATTTTACCCAAGGTAGTATCAGTTTTGAAGCATGAACAGGACAGACCATGTACAGCACTGAGCTGGAGGCCACTGTACAGTATTTAATAAAGGGCAATTTCTGTGCTCCCTAGCAGGCTTCGAGTGTGAGGAAAAGGAATGTTCTCTTCAAGCAGGATCATCTGTGATTCCACCTCTGCCTCTACCCAGGCCTTGAGCAATTCATTTATCAAACCTATTCCCCAAATGAGTGTGAAAATAATTCGATCTTTCCCCTACCCATCCCACTAAAATGGGGTGCCTGTCCACTACCCTAAAGTTTATAGGAAAAAAAAAATCTAAAACATTTATAGCAGATGTAGTTACTCAGAATATATGAACATGTCTCATTCCTAATAAACAGTATTTAACAAATGGGAGATAATCACCATTAACATAAAACACAGAATACTGGCTGTTTTTAAAAAGAATTTATTTATTTACTGAACCTGGGGCATATTAGATACACAACCAATTTTAAATTTACAACTTTTAATTCAATTTTGAAGTGTTTTCTCACACACACAAAAAATATTGGCATGCAACAGCTGTCCTAAGGTGAAACAGTCACCTTATCAATAAACTGTTGCAAATATTTTTACCCAAGGTTGAAAAATTGTCCTGAACATGAAAACCTGTAACAAATTTAAATTAATTATATAAAACTTGTTACTTGTAGTACTCCCCTTGAAAGACCAAAAAAAAAAAAAAATGTGCAAGTAACTAATATACATGAGTCCCAACATAATCCTGGATCACTCCCACACCAAAAGCAGATGCCCTGTTTCATTTTAAACCCATCATCAGAGACCAAGAAAAAGTCTTTCCATTTTATATAAAACAAAATTCACATGTGCCAAAAAGAAAGACCCAGGAGAAAAAAAAACAAAACCATAGTGCTGACACTGCTGTCCAGTGCCCTGGTTAAAGCGGCTCAAAAGGCCACTGAGCAAAAATAAAATAGTGGCTGTGTATCACTGCATGAAAATCCAAGAGGCTTTCACCCTTTGGCATCAGAAATGCAGGGTTTTCCAACTGTGTGAATCACACTTCCTACACACCCAGTGGATGAAGGGGACGAGCCAGCGCAGGAAGGAGAGCTGGCGTTTGCTGAGACACCCAGAGAATTGGCTTTCACAGAGACTGGTTACAAGATTAGGCAGAAACCAAACAACGGTTATTAGCTGCGCATGTCATCAATTTCAGTGGAGGCGATTCAGTCCTAAGGTTCAACCTAAAAATTTAGGGGGAAACTCTTCTAATTAAAGAAAACACAGATAAAGTATAAAAGTACCCAACCTGGAAGCATAGCCCAAGTCAGGAGGCTCTGCCATGAGGCGGACAGAAAATGTTAAGATTCAGATGTTGTTCACCTGATGAGCCATCAAAAGGAATCTTCCATGACTGAACCACAGGTGAGGGAATCCCAAGAACACAGCCATTTTACTATAGTTCCGTCAGGCTCTGTGCTGACTTCCTAAACAAACTCTTTTATGAAAACCAAAGGAAAAGCAGACAAAAGAAAGATTACACTCCTATATCCCATGTCCGATGCTTGAGTTCTGTCTGGAAGGAGCTGCATAAGGGGGGGCAGCATTCAAGTAATAAATTTTATGTCAATCAAATACCAAATTTTCACTATAACCTGAAAAGAGCTTTTCTCCCCCCAATATCTATAATCACAAAGAAACATAAGCTGTGAATGTGCAGATCAAAAAATAAAATTGTAGAAACTAATGACATTATTATGACCAAGGTGTTTGGTAAACAAGTGAATCATGAGCTGGGAGCATCAGGAAAAGGCCTTTATACAACCCTCCGGACTTCGAAAAATCTCTTCAGGTAGTAGATCTGTCCCAATGTCATGGCAACAAGAACAAGAGCTTCAAAGAAGGACCAAAGGACCACTCTGCTGTTTGTGTTGTCGTTGACTGTTGAGGACAAACAAACAAATAAAATTTAACAACCCCAAAGAGACATAAGCATCATAATTCTCTCCTAGCCTCTACTCTCAAAGTAGTATTTTGGACACCATTCATAAGCTCTAAATACTTGTCTTTTGACTCCAAGCAACGGAACATACCCAGAAGCAGAGATTTTAAGCATTTATAAGGAGCCTTAAAGATTCACTGTGAGTCAGGTAGAGCACACCTGCAATCCCAGCTACCTGAGAAGTAGAAGCAGACAGAGGAATGAGAATCTCAAGTAATGTTATCAAAATTATTTCAAAAACAAAATAAAAAGGGAGCATGGCTCATATGATAGAGAGCTTGCCTGGCAAGTTTAAGAGCCTGAACTCAATCCCTAAGACCACAAAAAAAAAGAAAGAGAGAGAGAGAGAGACAGAACAGCCAAGTCACTGTGTTTACAGAGAAATGTGGAGGAAATGGAGAGTGGGTGAGTTCCCCCAGGTAGTAATTCTAGGGTTAAAACCCAATCTAACCTTCTTTCTCTGCACCACTGCAATATCCATATTGTAAGTGTTTTTGCTCAGAGACTTGACTTTAAAAAAATTAAGGGATTATTTCAAGTTACTGTCTTTCTCCTAAAGTGTTTATTCAAAAGTACTTACTGAGTACTATGTATGTGGTGTCTGCTCTAGGTGGGAGAGGCTTCTCAGTTACATGGACCACTACCGACAGTACCAGTCAAATGCAAAACAAACTTAGACTTCTTTCCAGCTAAGGGCCTAATTCCTAAAGTTTAAAGGCCATGTCTACACTCTGTATTCTACTCAGTTTGTCACACTTATGACTTTCTGATCCACTTTGTTACTTTTGTAAACTACTACTTTACTAGTTCCTGACTTTTCTGCAAAAGGGCAACGATTAAAATCAATTACAATTAACAATATAATATTACTTAGCTGAGTGACTGCCATGTTTTTAGATGCACAGCATTTATGAAATTCACTTATGAACTAGATTTGCAATAGCTATTAAATGTGTTGACAGATCACTTAGTAAGTGAAAAGCAATTAACATTTTTCTGAAAGGATAATTAGTTACTCAAAAATTATGTGGTTTTTTCCTCCAGAGTAAAAACAACACATACCCAATAATAACAAGGACTCTGAAACAATCAGAACCACTGAAATTTTAGAGCTAATCCATGACATGACATTTGGTTTTACTGAAAAACCAGTAAGCAATTTCTGTAAAACTATGAATGACTATCGTTTCAGGGTTGTGTCTGAAAGGGAAAATATAAAGGAACTATTAAAAGATGTGCCAGTGGCTCACACCTGCAATCCTAGCTGCTCAGGAGGCAGAGATCAGGAGGCTTATGGTTTGAAGTCAGACCAGCAAATAATTCATGAGACCCTATCTCGAAAAAAAAGCCATCACAAAAAAGGCTGATGAAGTAGCTCAGGCAGTTAAGCTAGGCACCTGCCTAGCAAACACGAGGCCCTGCGTTCACCCTTCTTGGGAGGCTGAGATTAGGAGGATAAAGGTTTGCGGCCAACCTGGAAAATAGTTCATGAGACCCCCCTTCTCCAAAATAACCAGAACAAAATGGATTGGAAGTGTCACTCAAGTAGTAAAGTGCCTGCTTTGAAAGTCCAAAGCCCTGAGTTCAAACCCCATATCACTCAAAAAAATAAATAAATAAGTTTTGAATTTCAGAGCATTTTGGATTTCAGGTTTTTTGATTAAGAAGAATGCTCAACCTGTAAAGTCTATGCAAATATTCCAAAACCCGAAAAACTCTGAAATCCCAAGTATTTAGGATAAAGAACACTTTAACCTGTAATACTTTCAACATGAATACTCACTAATCCACTATCTGTAAACCAGCAGGAGTACCTCCACTCGAGTTAAGGGCAAGAAAGAAGGTTGAACTCTCTGCACCCTGCAGGCCCTTCGCTGGCCCTTGGGTTCCCTTCAGCATTGAAGCCACCTGCTCTAACTTGTTAAAACTGTTAAGGAGGACTGGAGGCATAGCTCAAGTGGTAGAATGCTGCCTAGCAGGTGCAAGATGTAAGTTCAAACCCCAGTACTGGGGGAAGAACTGCCAAACAATGAGTGCTCTTAAGCCCTCAGATTTTGTATTTTGTTCAGTGCCCTTCTCACCCCCAGAATAAGCTTGTTTCAGCCTGGGAGCAAGTTAACTAACAAATGGCTCCCTGGCCTTCCCAAAGGGTGAGGAGAGAGAGGAGAGTGGTGGCAAGAAGAAAAGGCAGTGAGAAAAAAGATGGCAGAGTACACAGACGAGCCTTGGTCCATCTCAGGTCCCAATCCACCCCTAAATGGGGCAGAGGCTTCTCCAGTCTATTACAGTCACACATTATACTGCCAAGGAGAGGGAAAGTCTGTGCTCGGAGTCCTGAAGGCTCATTCCCATCAGTGGTGAGGGTACATGTGGGAGAGTGAGAAGATCAGAAACCCTGTCCAGAATAAATTCAGGCTGTCCTTTTCTCTACTCCCTACCCCAACCTCAGAATGGACTACTAATTTACATCACTTTGCACTTTCAGACAAGAGTGTGATCCCCCTGAGATGTATCCCCAAGAACTCCTTGGGATGAAAGACACTGAACGACAGGTGTGTGCCTGTCCTAAAATATGGCATTTATGGTCTGTGTGTCAACACAATACTTCTTAAATTCAAAGGCCTAATATTTAATGCTTTATCTTATACCCAACAAACTTTCATAACCTAAAACAAGACTCCAATCATAGCCAGGCATGGTGGTGCACAGCTGTAATCCAAGCTATATGGGAAGTGGAGACAACAGAATCACAAATTCAAGGCCAGCCCAGGCAAAAGGTTGCTTGAGACCCTATCTCAAAAATAAAAACAAAAGGGCTGGAGGTATGGCTCAAGTGGTAGAGTGCTTGCCTAGCATACACAAGGCTATGGGTTCAATTCCTAGTACTGTTTAAAAAAAAAAAAAACAAGGCAGGCGCCCATGGCTCACACCTATAATCCTAGCTACTCAGGAGGCAGAGATCAAGAGGATTGAGATTCAAAGGCAGTCGGGGCAAATATTTCGCAAGACTCTATCATCTCAAAAAATCCCTTGACAGAAAAAGGCTCAAAGTATAGGCCATGAGTTCAAACTCCAATATCGCAAAAAAAAACCCACAATACCCAACAACAAAAAAATCCCTCAAATCATCACTGTTTCCACAGAAAAATACGTCTCGAGTTCCTAATTTACAAATTTAAGAACCCAAACTGATATCTGGTGACTTGCCTATATTTATGTTTTTGCATTTTCTAACTAGACTAGTAAGCCTTTCATTTAGAAAAAAAGTTAAATCTCAGCCTATGATATTAATCACACTAGCACAGAAGTTTTAGGTATATGACTGAACAGCAAAGCAATGTAATACCAACTTACAGTGTTTTTTCCTCCTATGTTAAGAAAACTATTGACAAGTGCTGGTGGCTCACGCCTGAAGTCCTAGCTACTCCAGAGGCAGAGATCAGGAGGATCAGCATAGCACAGCAGAAAGTGAGACCCTATCTCAAAAACACCCAACACAAAAAAGGACTGGGGGAGTGGCTCAAGTGGAAGAGCATCTACATGAGCACATGAAGCCCTAAATTCAAACCCCTATAACACACACACACACACACACACACACACACAATCAACTTATTCCTTAGCAGATCATAAATTTTTTTAAAACGTTTACAAATTTAAAAACCACTGTTAAAGCTTATGGTGAATCTTGGGATATCTTCTGGTCTACGGCCATACCACCCTGAACGCGCCCGATCTCGTCTGATCTCGGAAGCTAAGCAGGGTCGGGCCTGGTTAGTACTTGGATGGGATATCTTCTGGTACAGAATGAATGTTTAATACAAAAGTTCTACTAACATGTATTACTCAAAAACATCTTTGTGTAGGTGCTTTTTTAAAGTCAAAGCTTTAACCTGGTATGTTTGTAATTTTCTGAATGAGGAAAATGAGCAAGCTGCCAGGTAACAAACATTCCCCATGAGACACCATTACAAAGTTACAGTGCTAACTTACTGGCTCTGTGTATCCTCTCCCGGACTTCCATGTACTCCTGTTCATGCTTTACAGCTGTCATCGCCACTGCCAGTTCATTAATCATTTCTTCTAGCTTGTTCTGGTGAGCTACAGAAGGATTTGGAAACACATTAGCACACATTTGGCTATCTCTTTTGAAACATACTTACTAAATAATAAAATGTTCCTGAGAAGGCACACAAAAGAAGCTATTTTTTACAAATCAGCCGGGCCAGGCACTGGTGGCTCACACCTGTAATCCTAACTACTCAGGAGGCAGAGATCAAGAGGATCGAAGTTCAAAGCCAGTCCAGGCAAATAGTTCAAGAGACCCTATATCAGAAATACTTCACACACAAAAAAAAGGGCTGATGGGAGTGGCTCAAGGTGCAGGCCCTCAGTACAAACCCCAGTACAGAAAAAAATAAAAACAAAAAAACCTAACTCTAATGTTAATTTAGGAACACCAAAACAGACTTTTAAACTCTGAAGTCTTAGCAGACAGACACATGAAGACATTCTTGGGAAAATCCAAAGCAACTCAACCTTCTTCAGTGACAAAGTAATGATCCCACTGCAAGTGGGAAGAGCAGGCACCGTAAGTAAAGAGACAGGCTCTCAGCTGCACAGGTTTTCAACCAAGTATCCTCTTTAACAAGTATAAATCCATGGTGCAGCTCTAAGAACGTGCTCCAGGGTAGTACTGTACTGTAACAAACAGGCAGGAAAGAAATAACACAAGGAAAATTTTCCAGGTGAAGGAGAGAATCGCTTCATTCCCTACTCAAGACTGGACCTCATCTGGAATGCCAGTTTAGCACAGATAATCCTAAATTGCTCAAGACAAGTTGTAGGTCCCTACCATTTAAGACAGCTGCACTGGAGCCACGAACAGTCCCTCAGCAGCTCCCCTGTGGAGGCCCCATGCACTTGATGGAACCTTTAGAGCAAGGTTCTCAAGAGTGGCACTGCTGACATTTCAGCCAAATGTCCCAGTTTCAGTAAGGCACTGCCCTGTCCGCCCCCTCCTGCCCCCTGCCCCTGGATGCCAGTGACCCAAGCCCACATCCAGCTAATCCTGAGAACAGCGTCCCAGATGCTGCCAAGTGTCCCAAGGGGCAAAGGTCATCCCCCTTGAGAATCACTGCTTTAGAGGAAGGCTCAACTTAACAGTGCCATCCACTGACACAAACAAAAGCAAGAACTGTAGGATTGGGGGTGTAGCTCAAGTAGTACACCATGTGCCTAGCAAGTGCAAGGACCTGAGTTGAAACCCCAGCGCCACAGACAGAAAAGAGGAACTTTCACTGTTATGTGAAGAGTTACTTAAGAAGTTCCATATCCACTCTCCACCCAGAGTCTTCTCACAGTTTAAATAAGGCCAATTCTCAGAAAATAAACATGAAGCCCTTCAGACCTTCTAATTCTGCTTAAATTAGCCATGCCAGCCCTGTGAATGGCCCTGAGAAATGAGCAGAGAACACCAGATGCGATCCTCTGGTTTAGCAGACTTCAAACCTGACAGGGTCCTTCGCCGCCTGTGTGTTGAGCGCCTGATGCCTGCGCTAGCATGTGTGCACTGTGGCATGTGGTAGCTAACCGCCAGCTTCCAAAAGCCTAACTGTGGCCAAAACCAAAAACCAGCTCTGCTGCCCAGGCACCACAAGGTGAGCAGCTCTGCCCTTCCACACACACCCCTGCCATAATGTTCCGTCTCACCGCAGCCCAGAAACACAGAGCCAAGGGACCACAGACTGAAGCCTCTGAAACCATGAGACAAATGAGAACTCCCAGCAGGTAAGCCCAGCAGTCACAGTAATAAACAATCTACCTGAACATATGGCCCAAACAACTTTGTCTCTGACTCCTGACCTGCATTTCATACCCAACCAAACTTCAAACTAGAAACTTTAATATAAACAAGCCCATGAGATATGTTCTACAAGCCAGGCACCAGTGCCTCACTCCTATAATCCTAACTACTAGAGAGACAGAGATCAGGAGGATAAAGGTTTGAATCCAGCCTAGGCAAGAAAAAGGGAGACCCTACCTCAAAAATACCCAAAACAAAAAATGGGCTGGTGGAGTGGCTCAAGTAGTAGAGCATCGAGGCCCTAAATTCAAACCCTAGTTCTGCCAAATGCAACAAAAAAAAGATACTTTATACAAAGTAAAAAGCAGTTTGCAATTTGCTATGTTTAAGACTTTTAGTCCAGTTACACTTGAATCTTTCTACCTTTTAGCATTCTTTTAAAAGGAACAAAGATATACTAATGTCACTGTTATCACTATTGTTTATTAAAAATAACCTAATCCAAGCCAGGTGCCAGTGGTTCACGTCTGTAATCCTACCTACTCAGAAGGCAGAGACCAAGAGTTCATGGTTCAAAGTCAGCCCAGGCAAATAGTTTGAGAGCCCCTATCTCAAAAAACCATTACAAAAATGGGCTGGCGGAGAGGCTCAAGGTGAAGGCCCTGAATTCAAGCCCTAGTACTGCAAAAAAAAAAAAAAAAGAAAAAAACCTAATCCATATCTCATCTCCTGTCAACCAAATAAAAAACCACCAAAAAGTAATCATCTAATTAGTTGTAGGTTTTTTAAAGAGAAAAAAACACTCTCATGCGAACAAACTGAGGTTAGAGAGAAGAAAAGCAGAAATTAGACATTAGCAAACAACAAGATGCAAAGATAGGATGCCATCAAAAAAGCAATCCACATACCATCCCACGTGTCTCCACCACCTAAAGAAAAGTGTAAGATATAAGGAAAAAACAACAAAAAGTTCAGCTAAACTAGTTGTCTATGAAGGCACAAATAAAGGTATACCCACCAGGATTAGCAAATTAACAGTACAATCTGAGACATGTGGAACCTGAAGGCTACAAGAGCACAAAAATTCCCAGAACCATAAAGGCTGAAAAAAGTAAGTCTTAACTTCTAGAAACTTTTTTGGTTAATTAGAAGACTTGTATGAGTAAAAAGTATATTTCACAAGAAGTTTTTGCTTTGAAGAACCGTGACTGATTCCAGAATGAGAAATAAAAAATAAGTATTCAGATGGATAAAGTGTACAGAACTATAATGTGTTCATGGAAGTGACTCACCTTCTGTTTCCATATCCTGGCCTTTTGGAGCCTCACCAATATCGATGGTGAACATCACGATCTTTGGAGTCATGGTAGACATCCTGTTACTAAAACAAAATTTATATATTCCATCCATGTGAGCAGCAAACGTGTATTTCCCACTGGATTCTCGGTCTCCTTTATAAATTCCTTTATTATCAGGTCCTGTAATCTGGAGGCAGAAAAGAAATACATAAAATTCACCAAACATTTAAAATCATAAACTTAGTAAGTAATGCCTACTGGCAGCAGAAAATTCAGTCATACGTACTGAGCTCCACTTCAAAAGTGACAGTGAACACTGTGGGCTCTACCTCTCCCACTCCATAAACCAAAGGTGGATGAGCCAGTTCTCTAAAGCACCTTTCAGCATGACTACATTTGTCTTACTTGTCACTTGAAACTTATACCCTTCAGAAATAGTAAACACACCTTACACAGTGTCCCCAACTGGCCTAACACCATCAACAAACATGCCAACATGTGGCTGCTATCAAAACCCAAGATGAAAGAAATCTCTTTAAAATGAATAATTTTTATAAAATCACATTTCAAGGCTTTTGTGATTCCTGCCAAACAATGAAGGAATGTACTTTATCTGATGTAGACAGGCTGGAAATTAGGAGATAAACGTTCTCAACCCTACAAGGCGGCTGTTAGGTCATGGTCAAACATTTCCTCCTTTAAAGCCCTTGGTCACCTGTAACAACTTGGGGAGAGCTGCTCTCCAAAGTCTTAACTAAGTCAAACAACTTCTCCTTACTTTTGGATTTCACTTGGATTGCGTAATTTGTGCCAGGCTCTGCCACTGTTAACTGTCAAATGGAAAAACCCTTAGAGCCAATTAGTCATGCAGCAAATTAAAATACTAATCAAATTTAACTTCCTTTAAAAAAAAAAAGGCGGCAATGTTACTTTTTTTGTTGTCAAAAAAAGATTTTGGGTGGAGTTTCAGTTATGATTTCTTCAAATAATCTTGTTTTCTAGCTACTTCACTGCGCTCACACTCTACGTCCCCAGGGCAAAGCGATGCGCGCGCGGGACCTGGCGTCCGGCCACTCGCGTCCCAGCGGCGGTGACCGGGACACTCGGGTTGCTCCTCAGGCAGAGAAAGCAAAACCCAAGTCCTGCCTGGCTTTCCGTTTAACTTTTTCAGGTTTCCCCGCCACGTTCAACGCGAATCGGTGAAGACGACCGGACGCAGCCGCCATCCGTCCCATGGAGCCCGCTGACCGCCCTGAGCCGCGCCATCGGGGCCGGGAGGGTCCACGCGGCGCCGGGTCCCCGGAGCTCGGCCGGACCCCTCCACCAGCCAACACCTCGAAGCCACTAGGGAGCGGCTCGCGAATGGGGGGTGAAGGGGGCGGACGGGGGGCGCGAGGAGTGGACGGGGGTCCCGGACCCCTCCCAGGACACAGACGGCGGGCCACCAAGCCCGCTCCCCGCGCGCCACCAACCCCCGGACGGCCGCGCGACCCCCGCCTAGACGGCGGGCAGCGAGCCCGCACCTCCACGTCGATGTCCAGGAAGCCGCCCTCCGCCACCTCGAAGATGAGGCCCATCTTGGTGCCCGAGGTGACCCGCTCGAAGAAGCACTCCTCGGCATGCGCGTCGATGCTGACGAAGTAGCCCGAGGCCGTGGCCAAGAGAGCGGCCAGCAACACCAGCAGCTCAGCAAGCGTCACCATGGTGGGACAGGGGCCGAAGCCAGGACCCGGACTGCGGCCTCCAGAGCCGCCGCCACTACCGCCGCCACCACCACCACCGCTGCCTGCTCAGCCGCCGCCGCCTCGACTCCGCCCCTTCCGGCTGCGCCACCCGAGGGGGCTGATGCGGGCGCCACCGATTGGCTGGCGCCGGCGGCTGCCACGTAAAGGACGCACGGCGGCCGCCGAGGGACAAGTGCATACACGCGGCTCGAGCCCGGACGGCGGCCGCCGGGAGCCAAAAGTCTTTCGTCCCCAACTCTTTCGCGTTCTAATTAAAGTTTTATATGGGATTCTCTCGGAAAGCTGTAGTGTGGAGGAGCTTCACCCGTCCGGTGCAAGTGCCATTTTAGGATCGTCCAGGAAGATAGCGAAAGATTTGTGGCAGAGACAGGAGTGGATGGAATGGGAGGTGGGGGCCGAAGCCAAGAGGTTTGAGGGGTGTGTGTTTTGTTCCCCCCCCCACCCACAATATCATTCCAACTTATCTGGGGATGGAGAGAGGAGGTGGAGGCCCGTAAAGACCCGAAATCCCCCACCCCGGAAACCACCTTGGGTGCTGAAAATGGTTGAACGATGGGACGGTTTTTTTTTTTTTTTGCTGGTGGAACTGGGGTTTGAACTCAGAGCTTATGCGCTTGCCAGACTGATGCTTACTAACCCACAGCTTCAACCTATGTATTTGACTAAGACCAATTCACCATATTTTACCATATGTACGCAATACTTTGATTGCAAAAAAAAAAACAAAAAACTGACCTTGTTCACACTGCCCCAGATGCGAATTCTCCCAGTTTCTCCCAAGTCTTGCTGCCTCTCCAATCTCCTTAGCTTTTGCCAGCCACCACGATTGTGTTTTCTGAGCTTTGCCTACTGACATTCTCATTTATCCCTCAAAAATCAAGTCAAACGTCACCTCGTGTCTTCTCTGAACAATTCCTGGATGTCCTTCTTCCCGGTCCTAGCCCCTTCTTCAGGGCCGCAACTCAGACTCCTTGGTACTGAATTTTGGTTGCTCCCTAGTCGGTCTGCGGTGGGGCTCAGGGTCCTCTCTCAGGGACTTCAGGGTCCCATCGCTCAGATCATTGAACTGCCCTGGGGGTCAGGAGCCTGCGTCATGCAAGGGCAAAGAATCATGTTCCATCACCTCCCTGAGCCTCAGTTTCCTTGTCTATAAACAAGGATGACCCCCTGCTTTGCAAAAGTAAGGGACAATTTTTCAGAGACCAGCAGGCAATAGGGGGCGGCAGTGGCCCAGGATCCAGGCTCCCACTTCAGTGAGGAAGGCTTCCTGCCATGACACTCTTTGATTGGACTCAAGCAGTGGTCCCAGATGACCCAGCCTCTAGTCTGGCATATGTCCTGATATCCTTGGCAGGTCACTTCAACAGAAAAGTGCCAAGAACTATTTTGTTTTTAATCTAGAAATCCAATGTTAATTTTCAATTTTGAACTGATTAAACAGTATTCTAAGCCGGGCACTTGTGGCATCCTAGTAACTCAGGAGGCAGAGATCAGGAGGATCGTGGTTCGAAGCCAGCCCAGGCAAATAGTTTGCAAGACCCTATCTCGAAAAAAACCCTTCACAAAAAAGGGTTGGTGGAGTGGTTCAAGGTGTAGGCCCTGAGTTCAAATACAAATACAGCATATATATATATATATATATATAGAGAGAGAGAGAGAGAGAGAGAGAGAGAGAGAGTATTATTACTCCACGTATCAGGGATTTAAAATGTGGACACTTAGTTTATTGCCCAGGCAATAGGGAGTGGGAAGCATCGCAGCAAACTTGAGCATGGATGTCGAGGATGACACATTAAAATTCCAGTTTTTGAAAACACAAGGATGACCAAAGATGTAGCCAAAAGTCATCTGTTACATGTCATATGTTATAAAAGTAATTGTCCATGTTATTGCAAGTTGAAAAAGAGACAACAGTAACTAATTGAGTACTGTAAAATAGTCATTATTAGGGTTTAGAACATGGCTCAAGTGGTAGAGCGCCTGCCTAGCAAGCATGTGGCCCTGAGTTCAAACCCCAGTATTGCCAGAAATAAAAGTAAAAATGAAATAATTACTGTCAACCACATGATATATTTCTTTTAACAGTATTAATTTTGTCTTGCTTTAACATTACTGAAGCCATAATTACTCATGAGATGTGTTTCAGCATTACTATTTCATGCCAGCACTGGTGGCTCATGCCTATAATCCTAGCTACTCAGGAGGCAGAGATCAGGAGGATCACGGTTTGAAGCCAGCCTGGGCAAATAGTTCACAAGATCCTATCTTGAAAAAAAAAAAAATCAGAAAAAAAGGCCTGGTTGAGTGGCTCAAGGTAAAGGCCCTGAGTTCAAACCCCATTACTGCAAAAAAAAAAAATCCATTTCATGATCTGAAGTCACATTAATCCAAAGAATCACAGACCATTGGGATTTGACCGGTCGCCCACAGTAAACGGGCACTTTACTTTTTCCATTAGAGATGGGGTCTTGCAATATTGCCCAGGCTGGCCTCAAACTCCCAGGCTCAAGCAATCCTCCTGCCTCAGCCTCCCAAGTGTCTGGGACCACTGGTGTCCTTGTAGGCTTAGTAAGTGTGCATTTTGAAGGCTGTCAACCCAGATTGGTTGGCATAAATTCATGTGACATTGTGCTCATGCATATACCCAGTATAGCACACAGCTGGCACTTTGTGGGCACTCAATGAAGACTGGGAGATTATGAGCAAACCCCTCACCTGGGGTCTGTCCCTGAAACCACGGGTGATGGATGACCTGTGGATGCAACCCAAAATGTGCACACCTGCCCTCCTGCCCTTCCTTTCTTCCTTCCTACATTATTGGTATACAATTTACATACTATAAACTTCAGCCCTTCAAAGCCAGGCACGGTTGATTTGTGTATAATCCTAGCTATTGTACCAGTGGCGATTGAGAGGATTGTAGTTGGAGACCAGCCCGGGGAAATAGTTCTGGAGAAACCATGTCAACCAATAAAAAGTTGGGCATGGGGTTGCAGGCCTGTCATCCCAGCTCCCAGGAAGCACAAATAGGAAGACCTCTGGCCAGCCTGGGCTGAGAGGGGAGGTAGGGAGGGAGGTGCTGGAGGCGTGGCTTAAGTGGTAGAGAGCTTGTCAAGGAAGCAGGAAGCCCTGAGTTCAAATTCCAATACCACCAAAAAAATAGAGATCCATGGGTTTTATTTTATTCACATACCTCCACTAATTCCAAAACATTTCATCACCTATGAGAAAATCCCGCATCCACCAGCATTTGCTCCCCAGATCCCCTCCCACTGGTCCTGACAACCACAGTCTGTTTTTTGTCCCTTGGATCTAGAACTGAGGCACACAATCTGTGGCTGGTGGCCTTGGGCTTCTCTCACTCAGCATTGTGTTTGCAAAGTTCTCCGGGTGGTAGTGTGTGTCAGGGCTTCATTCCTCTCTGTAGAGAGATAAGATTTCATGTGCGCATCCCATTCAGCCTGCCCATCCACCTGTTGGTATTATTAGTAACTTTGGGCTGTTACTAAATGCTGCTGCATGTGTCCATGTGCACTTTTTGGTGCTGAGAAGCGTTTCCAGTCCTCTGGCTCAGATACCCAGAGTGGACAAAGCGGGGCATTTCTGCTTAGATTCAGAAGTCCTGTGCTAAGGTGTAGGACACCAGGGCAGAAACAGATAAGTCTGTTGTGACAGGCAGTTCTCAAATATTGGCAAGTTTTTTTGGGTTTTGGTGGTACTAGGGTTTGAACTCAAGGCCTCACGCTTGCTAGGCAGGTACTCTTACTGCTTCAGTCACTCCACCAGCCCTTTTTTTGTGTGCTGGATATTTTTGAGATAGGGTCTCTTGAACTATTTGCCTGGACTGGCTTTGAACTGCAATCCTCCTGATCTCTGCCTTCTCAGTAGTCAGGATTACAGGCGTGAGCCACAGGCACCCAGTTTTCTTTTCTTTTTTTTTTTTTTTTTTTTTTGGTTTTAAAATGTTACTTTATTGGGAACAATATTAAGATGTAAAGATAATTCAAATTCAAGACAAACAGAACCAGAATATCATTCATCACCTAATCAGTCCAGCCACTTCAGGTGCCTCAAGGAGCTTGGACCCAGTCCCCTCCATGTTCTCAGGTGGGTTCCAGGCCTCTCAGCCCACTCTGCCTCTGGGGAACTACATTTCCCAAGCTGACTTGCATGCTGCTTCCTGTTAGGTCCACCAATTGCAGGCACTGATGGAACATTGGAGGGCAAGAGGAAAGGAGTCAGAGCAATGGGTTCTTGCTCTTGGTCCCAGGAAGCATCTGGGCTGGGCACTGTGTCTTCATGATTCCAGTCCCCACCAGCATGTCCCCCACACACACCTCCTCACCCCTCCCACCCCACCCCCACTTCCACTGTGTGGTCCTGGCTCCTGAGCTCTGGGAATCCCACTTCCTCTGTTCCCCCAGTCTTTAGTGTCTTAAACTTTTTTTTTGGCAGCACTGGAGTTCAAACTCAGGGCTCTCCTCGTGCTAGGCAGGCACTCTACCACTTGAGCCACTCTGACAGTCCTGAAGTGTCTTAAGTAAGTTATGTATTTCTGTCTCCAGCTTTGTCACAGCCCATTGTGATAGTGTCTAAATATACCATAACTTTGACCCTCTTCCCTTCAAAAGGTGAATCCTACATCTCCTCTTCAAGGAAGCAGCCTTGACGCAATGACTCACTTCTATCTGACAGACGTATACTGCCTGAGCTCTGCAGCTAGGTCATAAAAGGTGTCGTTGCTCCTACCTTGTCCTCTTGAATCACTTCCTCTGGGGAAGCTATCATGTCATGAGGACTCTCACACAACTCTGGAAGAGGCCCCTATTGCCAGGGATGGAAGTTTTCCACCAACAGCCATGCCAGTGTGCCATCTTGGAAGAGGATTCTCCAGGAAGCCCCAGTCGAGCCTTCAGATAACTCCAGCCCCAGTGATAACTTGAGAGCAATACCATGACGCTGTATCAGAATTGCTCAGCCAAGTTGTTCCCAAAGTCTAGGCCTGCCAAACTATGAAAAACAATGAATGATGATTGTTGCTTTCAGCCACTAAATTTTGGGCTAATTTGCACAGCAATTGATACCAATGTACCTGCCTGATGAATTTCCTACATTAAAGTCTTTCTATTGGAAAGACCTGAAGT